AACACGTTTAGATTGAATGGTAATTTATAATCAGTCACAAGAACGTCGAATCTGAATCACTTGAAAAAACACGGGGGTGCTTAACTTTTTTCCAGGTGTATGTGTCAAAAAAAAAATACTGGCTGTGCTATAATGGATAAAAACTGACATATGTAATACACTATGTTATAATAGTCGTCTCTTTAAAACAGTAGTTTTACTTGTAACTTTTTAGGACATATAATTAAATCTAGACTATAATGTTGATGAAGTAATCACACGATAAGACACCCTACAATGAGCTCATCATCCTACTGAACTATCCGTTTATAGAAACACCATCTGCTCTAGCAGCATTAGTCTTAGTTACACAGTTTGCCAAGTAATACCAACCGCCTTGGTAATATACATGTAATACAGTTAAGTATATAAATGAAAACTATAAACATATTTTTCTGATGATGACAAAACCTTGTCGAAACGTTGTACATTTGCTGTTATGTTAAACTTATATTAAAGTTTTTCTTCATTACCCATTCAAGCCATTATTAGTCTCAAAGTGGGTTCCTCGTCATCGAATTAGGCTATCTATGCTTTGCTCATCACGAGTATCGAAACCCGGTTTTTAGCGATGCGAGATCTCAGATTTTTCGCTGAGCCACTGGGGACCATGCTGAAAATACTTTCATCTAAGCAATGATGGTTTCAGAAAGGTTGATACTGCAGGACTATGGTTTGATGAGTATGTGTCTGTGTTCTTATATAGCAAAGCATCATCTGGCTACCTACTGTGTCCACCGAGGGGAATCGAATTCCTGATATTAGCGTTTTAAATCGTAGACTTGCCTAATTTGATAAGCACGAACCAAATTGACTCATTTTCTGTAAAGTTTAACGATTTAAAATGTACACTATTTTTCATATGAAGGACATGACATGTTTCGGTAGGTTTCAGGTCTTTTATATTAGAACTATTGATTTAATTCATGCTTTACAACGTTATATCTTAGTTTGTACATGACACGTTTCAGCAGCTGTCAGGTCCTTTATATTGGAACTAGTTTTATTTAATTCATGTTTTATAAAGCTGTTTGACAGATTTGGGCATGAATTAGCCCACGTATTTACATCAGTCTCTAATGTGCTGATTCACTAGCTCGTCACATTACCTAGAATGTTATTCAGTTTAATGGGTAGTAAGGCTGCAATTGGTATCACCCAGAAGAACAGACAGCAGGATGTGTTAATTGATAATCCACTTATAATTAACATTTAGTATTTACCAAAATATGGAACAAATCTTGATTTACTTGAGAAAATCTTTCATAACTACGTAAATCACGTAGACAATAATATACTATCATTGTACTGTGAATTCATTTTTTCAATACTGTAATATTAAAAGTTCTTGAAATATTGAACTTAGAAAACCGTATCTTATCTCGTGTTCTAGCTATGGCAAATTGTATATGTTTGTATAAGTAGTTAGTTATTACATAAATATGTTTGATAGATACAGGTTAGTCAACTAGAAGAGATATTTTGTACATGAAGTTATGTATATATACTCAGTATATAGACAATTAAATAGACACCACCTTTTCAGAAAAAATTAAATTTTTCAGTCATATTCATATGAATTGGTATATTTATAATTTAATTAATATCTAGTAGATCTTCCTTTCGCTTCGTGGAGTTCATTGATCCTTTGGAGCATTGTGAGAATCATCTCGTCAATTTTAAATTGTGGGATTTTCCCCCACTCTTGCTTCAAAACTTAAGAGTAGATCGCTCTTCGAAGTTGTTTTTTTTTTGTCTTGTTGTTTCTTGACTTGCCGGTCGAGTATGGCCAAGAGGTTTTCAATGGGGTTCATGTCAGGAGATTGGCTCGGCCAGCAGGGGC